TGTTAATTTACCTGGATGTTGAGATGTTATGAATGACATATCAACAGGATCATTGTTTAAAACTCTGTTTGGCGTTCGAACAATAATGTTGTCTAAAAGAAGACAAAAACCAATAATCATTTCATTAATTTCAATGGACAGTTAAAATTGACTATTAAATGTCTAATGTTTACTAAATGTTTCAGCAACTTTTTCATCCAAATAAAATCATAATCGATTTGATTGAATTTTTTCTCGGCTTCTTCGTTTGAAAGAGAAAAATAGATTTTTGAAAATTCTCATTAAAATGTGCATTTCAATGTTCTACTTTTCATCCTATTGAGCTGTCCTTCCTCTATATATGATATAGAGTGATTAGACGATCATAATTAAAAAGCATTTCATAGACAATTTAACTTACAAGCAAGATTGTGTTCTTTTTTTAGATCAAATGTTGCACTGAAATCCACTATAACTGTATTTACAGTTTTATTTTGCAATAAATCTGTATCAGTTTCATCATTTGGATTTTGACTCCTTTAACATATATGTATAGAATGATGTTGACCACAACTTCTTCTTTTCTATTTTATTATTCACATAAACTTACCAAATGTTTGTATTATCACATTTTAGTGTAGCTAGACGTATTGTAGCACGTTGAACAAGTTCGTTTACATCAATTCGGGCCGGTTCAAAGACAATATTTGTTTTATTGGATATAACATCTAGGCTATGTGAATTCCAACGACCACGGGTATAACTCGGTGGAAATTTAAAACAATTAGTAAATATATCGTTTGATGAAGTTGGTTGAATATTGATATCTTGTGAACATGAATGTCGACTGAAAAGTCCGGGTAAACTTCTATCATTATTTTGTTTTTCGGCTAGTCGATTGGTTCCATATCGAGTCAGAGCTAGTAATAGTATTATAATAATTGGAAATAGAAGTTCAAAAAGTATTGTTGGACAACATTTACAACATCTTTGTCGATATGAATAACGAACTGAACGTTGAAGTAATAAACTAAGTTTTCGTGATGAACTAACAGGTTCATATTCAGCTTCGATTAATTTCTGTCGACTTGTCTCAGATTGTGACATTAGATTTAATTTATTTGTATTAGTACTGATATTCCTATTTATTAGATAGTTTAAAATATAACACTTGGCGCTAAGATGTTATAAATCCGGATATTTTTGTATATCTCGAGAACGAAAGCAACTAGAAAGTGGCCAACTCAACTATTCAAGATGTGTATATCTGAGAGTCTTAGTGTAGATTTTGGCCAAGAACTTCCGACGAAAATTGCTGATTGAACTATGAGTTTCAATTTAACCAATCAATAGAAAGGCATTTCCATGTCGATATATGAAAGGCTGCTTTTTCTGACTATTTCTATTCCGAAGTTAGGAACATTTTATTGGAATCCGTGAAATGAGTCTACTAACTACTGATCACTCTATATTGTACTGAGTTTGAAATATTCGGCAAAGTTAAGTGCTTTTAACATTAGAAAAGGATATTTTCTAGATCTTATCCTTTCAACATCAACTTGATTCAAAACTAAAAGTCAACACCATTATCTGATTCAGCTTAGGCAATTATACGAAACTAAGTGTAATTTAGAGTGATCAATGCTTAATCTATTCACTTCAAAGCTTCGAAAAGATAAGATTTTTAATTTAAAAGTGTGGATGCGGGTGTCGGTATGTCTATTATTCACCCACATCCATATTTTGTAACATTTTTCGATTAAGTTCTTTTTTCTTCTGTTTGATTCTTCGAGCTAATGCATTCAAATGTTTTGTCTCCTAATTATTTTCATATACGTTTCCTTTGCGCAAAGCCCGCATAGTTTCAACTGGACGAGACTGAGGCACATTTGGAGGATTATTGTGACGCCGAACGAGCTTTGGTTCAATCTTTTTCTTCTTTTAAGACTTGATGTTTGGAGAAGTTGAAGCTGGACTCACATAATTAAAAAGCGATCACCCTTGACGTTATCTCTCGCTAATTTCAAGTATTTTTCTTCATCTCAAATCATGCCACAATCATTCAACAATTTGTTATACAATTTTCACAAGTTCTTCTCGCTAGCTTTTCTTGATTTTCATTATTCATTGGCGTATCTCTTCAACGTTTTCTAACAAGAATAGATGTTCTTCTTTGAACATTACGTGAAATAATTGACTGGTGGGTTTGAAAATATTGTACTATTTTACGTTGGCTAAGGTCATATTAATTGTTTATACATTTAACGATGCTTTTCAAAGTTTTGTTGGATCATTTCACAATACGAGTTTACTGTAGTTTTTACAGAATGATTAGAAGAATTATGATAAGAGTTGCAAATACGTAATGCGAGTGTTTCTCTTTCGTCATATGTCATTTTTTTAATGAATGGACAGTAACAATCAGTCGTATGTCATTCAAAAGAGAAACGAGTGGACCATGAGATGATCACAAAATATTTCGTCAAACACATGTCTATCCGCCAAAAAAAGAGCTTAACATGTTTGCCTCGACTTCTGCATCGCATGTTACTAAGAATATTCCTTTTATATCTACACTGTATTTCAAATGTATCTAAGCATTTACATCGTATCGTCACCTTATCCTATATTCTCTTTGTATTCTATACACTCGTATTTGCTATCTCCTCTTTTATATACTTTTATAGCTTCATGTTAGCAAGTGAAACAATTAAGCAACATAGTGATGCACTTTTATTTATTCATAAACGATTGTAAATTCATGTCTTAAGATTTGTTTTCATTAGGATTTGAAAATACTTTTCTATTAGACTAATTGTCAAGACGAAGTTGACATTCAGCGTCATAGTTCTGGTTCGAAAAATAGTCGGTGCACAAGTCTTGTCGGCGAATATCCCATGCAGCTGTGTATACATATATTCTCAGTTTTCTGATGGAATTCTTACCGAAGAAAGTTCTAGAGTGTTTTTATTCTTGATTCAGCATTCCATCTTTGTCTATGATGAGCAATTTCGAAGAAGTAGTAATCGTTTGGTTGCGATCAAGTGATATGGCTGAAGTTGATGATCATGCATCCATCAATTCACTTAAATTGGTGGCGAGCAACGTTCCAATATTTAATGATGCTGACGATTTTGTTCAGTATATTTTATCCATTCAAGATGAAATAATCTTTGTCAGAATCGATTACGGTCGATTCTATCTCGTTCCTATTCTTAACGATTTTAACAATATCAGATATATGTATTTGAGCGAATCGCAAGAATTTTCCCCTTCGAAAGTTTGAGGAGTTTTTATTAATTTTGTGCGACTTCTTGATCAACTTTTATGGACTGTAAAACTAATCAAAAATACATACAGTCACTTGAATGTATATGATGATACGATGTTAGAAACAGAAACATCTACAAAAGATGTTGAAAATTTAAAACTACGCTTCATGTGGTCACAAATATTACTTGAAACACTTCTTCGTATGCCATCACCACCAATCAATAAACATAAAGATCTGTTAGACGAGTCTTGTCGATTGTATGATAAGAATCAAACTGTATAATTAGCACGATTGATGAATTTGAACAGAATTATCGATGTACTGATGCTATTACATGGTATACACTTGATTCATTTTTATATCGTCTAGTAAATAGAGCATTACGTACTCAAAATATTATCGTTTTTTTCAAATTTCGTTTTATCATTCAAGATATTTATAAACAGCTTAAAGATTTGCAACACGAACAAAAACAACAGTCAAATCAATTGATAGGAATAACTGGCATGTTTTATATTACAAAATCATTAAACGTTATGTATTGCAGATACAAACAGCTCAGGATTATCCCGAGTGGGTGACTTGGAGCTGACTCTTCCCCTGCCCACCGCCAATGTTCGAAAATTTTCGTTTTTGCCTATCAGAACTGAGCAATTTGTTTTGCTCCTCAACATTGGCAATAACAGACCATTCTCTCGGTTTTGGTGGCTTCGGGAAAATTCTGAATCAGCTGATTGAATAAAGATTTTGACAAGAGATATTCCAGAGAAACTCAGAACGCGATTATGATGAAGAGATCTGAATGTATGTGACAATATTTTAAAAACTTAGTGCTATTGTTTAGGATAAAAATTAATTTTGAGGAACACAACTGAAAATGAGTGTTGAAGTTTTAGAGCGAGAAATTTGATCCCCTCCCTTCCTCTCCTTTCGAAGACCGTGACAGGCATGTCGCTGTTCTAGTGATCCCGTCACAGACTGTGAAAGACATGTTAGAAAAGCCAACTGAGGTGTTTCAGACTGTAAGTGACGTGCCAAAATGTCTGTCACGATCTTTGATAGTGGAACGAATTTTCGATATCTGCGTCTTTGTCTCGAATGGACTGAAGTAGAAATAAGCGAAGTCTCCATTTCAGCTAAAACACCTCCATCGTTTTTTACATTTTAATCCTGAAGGGACTGCGCTTCAAACTTTTTCAGATTATGTAGAGTAGTGAAACAAAGAAAAAGAAGTTATACTCAGGGCTACCAAACACAAGTTTAAAAAAAACAGGAGTTTCTCGGCATAAAACCAGTAGTTGACCAGGAGACTACCAAAAAACCAGTAGGAAAAACCAGTAGATCTTTATGGAACTGAAGTCACTATTTGGCTGAATTGTCTCGAAAGAAACTGAAATTTTTGTTCAGATACTTAACTGTTTCTTTCCCCTACCAATTCAGTGATGACAAGATTATACTCTAAGCGACACATAAGGACGAGAAAGAAAGATAATATGTAGTTTCGCAAAAATAAATAAGCTGACGGATTTGACAACCATTCTTTTGTAATTTTCACAAATACAGTTTAGTTACTTTCACGCATAACTATGGAGCAGTTTTTCATTTGAACTTTTTTCAGTGAAATAGAACCTCATGCAATGCATACATTCGATAAATATACAGTCAGGTGTTTCTTTTTATTAACAGTTACACAAATGTTTACAATAAGATTTTTTTATGAAATTGATCATCTCACTTTTAGAGAGCTCAAGACGAAACAACGTGTTTTCTTATCTGTTATTGCATCTATGAAATACTGTGATAGTTGTTTGTTGTTGCTTTATTAACTGATTCAAGGTGTCACTAAAATCCAAAGTGACCAAATTCCTAAAAACAAGGAAAAATCAGGAGAAAATGTAAAAAAATCAGCTCCTGGTTCCAGAAGATTTTTTCACTAGGAGACAAGTCTGAAAACCAGCAGTCTCCTGGCTAAATTAGGAGATTTGGTAGCCGTGATCATACTATATCTGCTATAAGCGGTCTAATTTCGTGTCAACATTGTGGATAAGCATGAGTTCTTTAATTTAACCAAAGATTAGGGCTTCATTTAAACAATCTTTTATCACTTCTCAAGTATAGCGAGCATAAGAAGTGTTTTTGTCTTTTGTTAAAGTTATTATCACCAATCAAGATGCATAAAATATTAGGGGATAGTAAATTTTATTATTTTCAATCAAATGAAAGCATTATTTACGTTTTTCATTCAGATAAAATTAATCCCCCACCTCATCAGAAAAAATGATGACCTATCGTGGCCAATTGATTTCGCCGACTGAATTTAATATTCTACAGCAAAGTATTGGTACACTGGTCTCTATGAACACATTCTTGTCGACAATAACGGATCGTGACACTTCTATTGTGTTTTCTGGTGAAGGTGGTCAATGTCCATTTTTGGAATCTATTATGTATGAAGTTTCTATGGATTCTAATGATCATCTTGTAGACTTCTCACCATTTGCGGATATCAGCCATCTTAGTTACTTACCGCCTGAGAATGAGATACTCTTGTCAATGGGAACTGTAATGCGAATTCAATCAGTGACAGTAGGTACTGTCGAGAATAATTACATAAACTGTATTCGTTTGTGTATGTGTCAATACAATGATCCTTCTTTGCAGAAATTAAAAACTTTTATCTCTGATGAAATTTTGTCATGAGACGGAAGTGAAGCATTCTATCTTTATCAAATTGGATGTATGCTTAGCGCCATCGGTGAACAAGAGAAAGCCGAACAAACATTTCAAATAGCAAACTTAGATGAAACTACTTTGGGCAAAATGATGCCATTGC